ACAGTTTCACGATTTGTAAACTATGGTTTACAACCATTAACTATAGTTAACGATCAGATAATATAGTTTCACGATTTGTGAAACTATGATTAACAACTCTTAACTATAGTTCACGATTGTAAATTATAGTTTACAGACGTGAATCTATGTTTACCAACAAAATCTATTGTTAACGTTTTATTGCAGACAGGTAAACTTAGGTAAGCATTCGTAAACTATAGTTAACAACCGTTAAATATAGTTTTACAGATGAAAACCACAGGCACCTGACGTTACTTATTTTTCTTTTAATAAAAAAAATATACACATACCTGTTTATTATTAGGTATGTGTATATTTTCTTTTTATTAAAAGAAAAATAAATAACGTCAGGTGCCTGTGATGAAAACTATAGTTAACGAATTGTTAACTATAGTTCACGGTTTGTAAGCTATAGTTTACAGTCGATAAACATAGTTTATCAACTGTGAAACTGTGTTTAGCTCATTTTTGTGAATTTGGCGTGCCATAAAAATCACAAAATACTATAGTAGTTCAGTAAACATAGAGAAAAAAGAATTCAATAAGATAAGATCAATATAAAGGGAAAGAAAAACAATTCATAGAATAGAAATAATAAGGAAGGAAAAGAAAATGTGAGGGAAAGTGTCCTGTTTGCAGCCAACCTATGCATGTTTACGAAAGCAGTACTTGGGGCGAAGGTAAACTAGGAAAAAGGCACGAAAGGTGAACTGGAAAACATCTAGCAGAGACACACGGTGATAAAAAGCTATTGGAGCATTTAGAAAACTTTGAAAGAAAAGGAAATGTTCCGGAACCAGATGCACTGATGAACATGAAGGAGCCTTCTTGGAAAGAAGTAGTAAATGTAGAGAAGACAACTAGACCTGCATTAGCAACAACTTTGACTCTGCTTGTTCTACATCAGACCCCCCCCCCCCCCTCCCCCCAAAAAAACTACATCTATTCTTCTGTATTTTTGATTGCCTTTTATGGCCACATTCTATACACAGGGGTTGTGATTTAAATAAAAATGGATTTACACTACCAGATGATGAATGGTTCATCATGGATTTACTCTTGAAAAGTGTTGAAGGTACTCCTCAATATAACCCCTAGTAAGCCCCATCGAAACCCCAAATGAAATGAATTGAATAATTTAGAATCAACAATACGACAGCATACTTTCACGTAAGTTTACAAGTTTCCGCTTTTCTGGTCCAGTGATTCTTGAGATGATTTCTCATGTATTTCAATGTAAGACTTTGATTCCTTATTTTTGCACGGCCAGACCCCAGGGGTCATAATTTTAACCCATTTTCTAGAATCTACACTACCCCAGGATGCTTCCAAATAAGTTAGTTTCTTGGGCCAGTGGTTTTTTTTAGTTGAGGGTGGGAATTTTTATGCCCCCGTAAACGAAGTTTCGGGGGCATATAGTTTTTGTCGTGTCCGTCCATCTGTCTAGCTATCTCTCTGTCCGCAAAAACTTTAACCTTGCTCATAACTTTTGATTTAGTGGAGCTATGTCTTTCATATTTCATATGTATATTCCTTTTGACAAGACCTTTCTTTGGGTACCACCAAATTTGACCTTGACCTTGGAGTTTGACCCACTTTTACACAAATATTCCAAACTTTTACTTTGGCCATATCTTTTGAACAGTAGATACCAGGACATTTATACTTCACATATGTATTCTTTGTGGAAAGACCTTTCATTGGATACAAACAACCTTGACCTTTTGACCTTGAAGATTTCCGTACTTATGAAAAAACTTTAACCTTGGCCATAACTTTTGAACGCTAAGGGCTAGGGATTTACGTTCATTGAATACCAAGAACTTTGACCCTTTGACCTTGGAGTTTGACATACTTTTAAAAAGCAAACCTTGACCATTACTTTTAAAGGGTTAAGACTAGTGCTTTCATATGTTACATGTTTAAACCTTGTGACAAGACCTTTCATTTGACAGCAAGATGTTTGACCCTTTGACCTACTTTTTAAAACTTTTACCCTTGGCCATAACTTCTGAACGGTTTGGACTAGGGCTTTCATACTTTACACATGTATTCTTTGTGGCAAGACCTTTTATTGGATACCAATTACCTTGACCTTTTGACCTTGGAGATTCCAATACCTTTGACGAAACTTTAACCTTGGTCATAACCTGTCAACGCTAAGGGCGAGTGATCTCATACTTCACATATGTAATCCTTGTGAGAAGACCCTTCATCATCGTCTCAAGCCACGGTCCAGAGTCCGCATATAGCTCTCTCCTACCTGAGGCTGTTTGATCACAAAAAGTGTCGTGGTAGTCTTGAATATTTACGCCTTTGTATTGTGACGTCATATTCAGTCAATGACAAGTTGTGTTTCCATCGCAATTGAAATCAACAACGTACATCAACAGTATTTCGTACACTGCGATTGGGTATTGAAAGGTCGCACGAAAGGTCAATTTCCGACTATGCTTTACTCGCATTGGTCAATACTTAAATGAACTACGAAACATTCTCGTCTCATGCAATCACGGCCAGAATGGGAGAGGATCGTACATTTTGGCCGTGGTTTGCGACGATGACCCTTCATTGGATACCAAGAACTTTGACCCTTTGACCTTGGAGTTTGACCTACTTTTAAAAAGCAAACCTTGACCATAACTTTTAAAGGGTTAGGGCTAGTGCCTTCATACTTTACATATATATTTAATCCTCGTGACAAGACCTTTTATTGGATACCAAGATCTTTGACCCTTTGACCTTGAACTTGGAGTTTGACCTACTTTTTCATATTTTTAACCTTGGCCATAACTTCTGAACGCTTTGGACTAGAGCTTCCATACTTTACACATGTATTCTTTGCGGCAAGACCTTTTATTGGATACCAAATACCTTGACCTTTTGACCTTGGAGATTTCAACTAGAACTGTCCAATAGGGACAAATACCCCCACATGTATTCTTTGCGGCAAGACCTTTTATTGGATACCAATTACCTTGACCTTTTGACCTTGGAGATTTCAACCAGAACTGTCCAATAGGGACAAATACCCCCCATTGGATTTTTCAGAGAAGATGCGAATTCAAAAATACTTTATGGATCCAGAGGTGTTCACAATTTACTTACAAAAATTTGCAGTGAAATATAATTGCTCATTATGTTTCTTAATGAATGAAACAAAGGCGCAACCAAATGAAACATCAATACTAATACATTGTAATTCCAGTGCAACATATTTTTTTATTTCTGCATTAAAATGAAATTTTTCTTTCAGCGACCTTGAACTTCTCCAAATGACCTTGGGTCAAGGTCATGACACACCCTTAGGTCATAAGCAATCCTTGGGTGAAATGGGAACTTACCAAGTTTATCCATAAGAAAGATATGGACCGGACACGAATAATGAAATTTTTTTTTTGTGACCTTGCACTTCTCCAAATGACCTTGGGTCAAGGTCATGACACACCCTTAGGTCATAAGCAATCTTGGGTGAAATGGGAACATCGAAGTTTATCCATAAGAAAGATATGGACCGGACACGAATAATGAAATTTTTCTTTTAGTGACCTTGAACTTCTCCAAATGACCTTGGGTCAAGGTCATGACACACCCTTAGGTCATAAGCAATCTTTGGGTGAAATGGGAACTTACCAAGTTTATCCATAAGAAAGATATGGACCGGACATGAATAATGAAATTTTTCTTTTAGCGACCTTGAACTTCTCCAAATGACCTTGGGTCAAAGTCATGACACACCCTTAGGTCATAAGCAATCTTTGGGTGAAATGGGAACTTACCAAGTTTATCCATAAGAAAGATATGGACCGGACACGAATAATGAAATTTTTCTTTCAGCGACCTTGAACTTCTCCAAATGACCTTGGGTCAAGGTCATGACACACCCTTAGGTCATAAGCAATCTTTGGGTGAAATTGGAACTTACCAAGTTTATCAATAAGAAAGATATAGACTGGACACGAATAATAAAATTTTTCTTTCAGCGACCTTGAACTTCTCTAAATGACCTTGGGTCAAGGTCATGACACACCCTTAGGTCATAAGCAATCTTCGGGTGAAGTAGTAGATTGTATAATATTCCTCTGGAAGAAAAATATGGACCGGACATATTTGCACAGACAGACGGACGGACGGACAAGGTGATTCCTATATACCCCCCCAAACTTTGTTTGTGGGGGGTATAATAACTTTGACAAAACTTTAACCTTGGTCATAACCTGTGAACGCTAAGGGCTAGTGATCTCATACTTCACATATGTAATCCTTGTGAGAACACCTTTCATTGGATACCAAGAACTTTGACCCTTTGACCTTGGAGTTTGACCTACTTTTAAAAAGCAAACCTTGACCATAACTTTTAAAGGGTTAGGGCTAGTGCTTTCATACTTTGTATTTAATCCTTGTAACAAGACCTTTCATTGGATCCTAAGATATTTAACCCTTTGACCTTGCACTTGGAGTTTGACCTACTTTTAAAAATTTTTAACCTTGGCCATAACTTTTGAAGAGTTAGGGCTAGGGCTTCTATACTTCACATATGTATTTTATGTGGCAAGATCTTTCATGGGATACCAATTAGTGAATTACCTTGATCTTTTGACGTTGACCTTGGAGATTTCCATACTATGAAAATACTTGAACCTACTTTTATATTTCAGAATTGTTTTTCCTGTGAGTTTGCTGTGCTTAAACATAATAAATATGGACCAAAACAAAGATTTCCTTAGGAAGAGAGTTTGTGGATAATCTCATTATCATTACAGATACCAATGCCTATACCCCATGAAAATTAAATGGATGAACAATAAATAAGTGCAATGAAAGAGACAGCATGGGCAAGTCAGTGCTACATGTAAGGAAATCACTTGTTCCATAACATAAGCTGACAGTCATAAAAAAACAACACAAGTCAGTGCTACATGTAAGGAAATCACTTGTTCCATAACATAAGCTGACAGTCATAAAAAAACAACACAATCTTTTCTACTTTATACATTTTAATTCATCAGATACATGAAAATTTATCATAGATGACAATGAAATAGCAAAGATTACACTGAAAAAAAATCTGTTTTCTTTAAAAGAAATGTACAACAGGTTCATTTGAGGTAGATAAATAGGTCTTACAATTGTAAATCCTGACCATTAAGTTTGTATGTCACTACAGCAAACACTCGCGCCTGCCTCTCACGGTTATATAGTATTACAGACCTTCATAGCCAACACACAATGTACGTTCATTAACATAAAACAGTGGTCATTTTCAAATTACATATTCAAAAATCCTGTTTTATTCACAAATTTTTATCAAGGATTTTCAACAGCAAGATTTAAAGAATAACTATGGCACCGGGATTATAAAGTCTGTCCAAAGACACGACAAAAAGCTGCATAAATAATTTAACAGAGTTCTGATGAGCATACAAACAGTTATCAGTTACAATGAAAAACACACACAACAATTTTGCTACACAGATTTTATATACATTGGTTTTTTTAAATAATTTTCAAACAAATTCACTTCAAGGGACAAAAATTCTGGACATTTTTTGTATTTGCCATTTATTTTTAAGAACTATAAATATGAATGTAAATGTATTTTTTAACTTTTGTAAATAATTTGATTTTTTTCATTTAATTGCCAATGTTTTAAAAGTAATGTTTATTAACAATGCAATAATTTTTTCCCTGCCTTATTCAAACCAGAGAAATCTATCAATGGTCAATATACAGATACATGATACATAAATATAGCACTTATTTACAAGCAAGTTTTTACATTTCAAAACAAATATGTAAAAATGATAAAATGAAGTAATTTTAAAAGAAAAAAAAAACTGAGGTAGAGCTCTAGCTCATTATAAATAATTGAAATGTATTCAAAAAAAATTTTCTTATTAAAAAAAATTGAATATGTGTACATAAATTTTGCATTTGATATCTAATCAAGATTCTTTCTACTTAAGTTGTCATGTTTTCTGAATCTGTAAAACCCCGAAATAAGACTTTGATATGACGATGATCATAATGACACAATCATGAGGTAACAAATAATGTAAAATGGCTGCATAAAACGTTGTAGTGATCCTTCAACATGACTGAGGTCAGGTCAATGTGATATGAGGTCAACATTTTGACAACTATTAGGTCTGATTATGTTCTCTTAAATAAAAACGGGAGAAAATGTTGGTCAACAAAGGCTCAATATATGATGGACAACAAGAATGTAAAGGGAAATTTTGAACAGAGAAAAATCATATCTAAAAATTTTTATCAATAACATATCCATATCTTTTCAGTGAACTTTTGCTTAAAAGGAAAATTTCATTCAAAAAAAAAATACCTTAACACACAACCATTTTGGATTGAATCTTAGCATCTCTTATAATTCAGACAGTACCCAGTAATATTAACAGTATTTTAATGCAAGAAATTTTAATTCACTGCCATCTCCTTGCAAGAAGTTCAAAAATGAGAAACACTAGTGCAATGCATATTTTGTGAACTATTTATAAAATGGTTATATTGAAATGTGTGCTTTAAAAACAGCACCCAAATGAAAACTGAGGTAGACGTATTGACCAAAAAATAAACCACTGTGACACAAGAATATAATGCAGTGCAAATACAGAAACAAACAAACAGACAGACAAAACAAATGTACCAGTTATCTGTAGTGATCCAATTCAAGATTAAGCTACATGAAAGGTTCTCTATAAGTGACCACTGTAACATACAAAATTTATGCTGCCTTTTAACAATAAATATATGTGTGTGTTTTAACTTCAGTCTTTCTTATGAATGAAATGCTAATTCAATATTAAAGTTTTCCCATACATGATCTGACTGAAAATTTGGTGATGTGAAAAATATTGCTGCTTACAACTGCCTAGAACAAATACATCCTGAACTTTAAATTTTTCTTTATATCAAACTTAAAATTTCGAAAATGTGTAACAGATCTATATTTTAAATGATAAGTTTCTATTACAAAATAAAATGTAAATGCTTAAACGAAACATAAATACCATATAAGAAGTGTGTTTACTTCATATAAGACATTCATCTCTAAATTTAAAAAAAAAAGATCATATAACTGGTCTTCTCAGTTAGAAACAGTCTTAGTTCAGTTTCATCATCAAACAACACAGGCATAACTGTGTCAATTTGACAACATAAAATGTAAGTTTCCTACTATAACTATCCATTTTATAAAAATAAATGCAAATACTAACCAAATACAGTGTACTCCCGGAGAGTAGGGATATAATCTAATTGTCAATAATTTTCATCTTCATTAAAAAAAAACTTAAACAAAAAACAAATCATAATGCATTGGTAATAAAAATGTCACACACAGCACTTAGAATAATAATACCCAACAAACAACTGTTCATAAACAACAAAATAACAACACAGACATCAGTAACAACCGTGGGGGCCCCCTTCTTTGTTCCCCCGACATAAAGCAGCCTCCCTTAATAATAGACTCGGCATGCTACAGGTCTAAAGATACATAATGAAATTCTACAGGCAGTTCATATTTACAAAGTCTCAACTTAATATAAAATAAACATCAACAAAAAAATATAAGAGAGGAGAGAATCATTTCCACCCGAAGACAGATCTTACATGCATGGTAATGTTTTATAACCCATTAAATTTTGCTCAGTTTGGTTATAAATACAAACATTTCTTTTTAATCCATTGAACAAGAATTCTGGTATACCAACATGGCTTAGAGAATATATTCTCCAATAAAATAGCACTAGACTCCTGTAAAAATGACAATTTAGCACTATTCCGAGTTCCTTTTGAAAGAATATACACCAAATACCTGCCAACAAAGACAAGTAGCACTATGATTCAGATCCATTCTAGGTTAAAAATATGTTTTACATTAAAATCATCACAGACAAATTCTCCACTCTGACATTCTAAATAAATAAGAGTTTCAATGGTTACAGATTATCACTCAAGTGTTTACAGTTTGTATCATATTCACTGGTATTCATGGTGATAATAGTCGCGATACAATTAAAAACATACAGATATATATGTAGTATATTACCATGAAACACCAATAAAATATCTATTTACATCAAAAGATCATCCAGATCACTTCTTTAACTGCAATTAATGCTTTACACAAAGCTAGAGCAAGTTAACAGTTTAACAGTTTCCCTGCGTTTATATGATATACTGAGGTAATCAAAGAACAAGCTACAAGATGTTTGTTCTTAGAGAAACACTTATAAAGCAATTTTTACTTGCCAAAATTATTAACAAACCCTCTTTCTTGCCTTCAAAAATTGTTTTCTGAAATTTTAAATACATTTCATGTTCTCCATTACTTTTAAATAATTCTTTTTTCCCCAGAATCAAATTTAACATGACTCTGTCTCTCTTAGTCATTCAAAACATAGATCCCTTCCCCCTATTTATTTTGCAAAGGCACAAAAGTGTCCCTGACCTTCCAGTTTCCCTGACCTTTCAATATTGCATAAATAATGAGCTTAAGTTTGAAACCTGAAGGGTTTTAAAGTTAGATGAGGTATAGAGACTAAATAACTTCCTCTTCTCTTCCATAAGTTCACTGGATAGAAGATGGGTTTTTTTAAGTACAGAATGCCTATATTCATACAAAGATATACCTGTCACATTTTCATCCTGATTATTTTGAAAGAATAAATAAATAATTTACAAAACGATAACAAAATGTGGCACATATTAGAAATAAATGTAGCTAACAGAAACATTCAGCAAATGATATGATAGACATTGAATTAATTATGTACCGTCTACAATGTATCCAATGGGAGCTTAACAAACAGATTTGCCTGGCCATGTTTCAATAATCACCTATTTTACCCGTTTTACAAAACAAAGACAGTTTTATTCCTAATGCTAACTTGCTCTAGCTTTGTGTTTGTTTCATTTTGGTGAAAAAACTTTCTTAGTTTAAAATCTGATTCCAAGAAACTTGAAGCTTCTCCCATTCTTTTCCATCTGGGAATCTCTATATCAATAGAAAGTTCACCAAATTTGTGGCCATTTTAAAGACTCGAGGCAGGAACCCTCCATAATTAAATACATTAACTATCATACAACATGTCTACTTGTTTTCAAAATATTAACTTCCAAAATAATTTTGGCTGCCATTAGCCAACACAGCTAACAGGTGCTGCTAATATCCTGAGAGACCCCCCAGGGAGGGGCTAGAATCCACAAAATATCCTCTTCTTTGGTTTAAGCTGTGGTGCTGATCATTGTGTGTAATGTACCTCCATTTTGAACATGGTTCTTTTTTTTTTCTCTTGGATCCATAACAATACTGACTCCATGGTACATGTAGCATCTCTTAGTTCATTTCTGTCACAGTTAACACTTTTTTGCTTGCTTAATATCACACAAATAATACTCAGAAGTTAACAGAGAATTGTTTTGCATGTACACTGGAACATGCCAAAATCATGTTTTAGGAATACCTTGCTTTGCTTGAATTTACATTGCTAAAGCAGTAGTTATCCCCTTTGTGCCTCCCCCCAGCGGTGCTACGAGTTGATTTGTAGTGGTGCTGTTGACATTGGCGTTGATTCACCACTTCCATCCAATACTGCTCGAGAGGCCACAGCATGCTTTATTGGGGCTACAAAACATGTAAAACTTTAATAACATCAAATTCACAGTTATCAAGTCTGCACACTCCACATAAAAATGTCTGAGGACAGAATCAAATAAGATAAGCCAAATGAAAATCTAGATCTTCATATATCAACAATGTATGATTTTTATTTCAAAATCCTTCATTCATTTACCAAACTTTCTTGGATGTGGCTGCCATGAATTACAAAGAAAGCATTTGTTTGTGTTCTGTCTATTATCTTACTTAAATGAACATGACAAAATAGTATCTTTTATATTACTTGTGTGAGTGTGAATAAACCACAGAGCAGACACCAGCAGGACTCCGATGATGAATGCTGCAAAAGCGATTCCAATCACTGTCCCCGAGTCCAGACCCTCCACCACAACCGTCTGACTTCTGTTAGATTTCTCCGAGGTCTTGCTTTCTGAGGGTCGATTGACAATGTTCACATGTGGTTCTCTTACTGAAAACGACATAATGGAAAAGTATTTTTACAGCAAATAACTTCAAAATATCAAGCCATCATTTATTTCAATTAACAATCATGTTTTTCAAAGGATTAACAATTCTCTCCTCCTGACTTACTGATAGTGGAGTTAGGAGGGTCCAGCTCCTTTTCGTCGGGGGGTGGTAAGGAGTTGGTGGCGTACAGTGGACCAAGAGTGATCTCCTTCATCATGGCTATAGGGCTCTCACTGTCACACATCTTCTCCTCTGAATTACACTGTAACGATGCCGAAAAGAAATCAACTAGAGCTGATAAAAAGAAGCATATTTTTGTGGTTTCTCATGGAAAGAGATCTCATGTTTATGATGGTTATAGGAAAATCTATCAACCAGTAAACACTTAATCTTCATTTTCAAGAAACCAATATGTTGACATCCTAAAACTTCAATGCTTCATTTACTTGCAATAAAAATATGCTGCATGCATTAAATTTTGCTTGGAATGTTTTTTTTTAAAGTAAAAAAATACCAGTAGCAATGTAAAGGAACAATAAAACCATGATATAGGTCTTAAATTTACAGATATAAAGTCATTTTGTGTTTGTTACCTTGTTTGTTCATTTTAGAAGTGTATCTACATGCAATACTGACTGTTAACATATTGATTATTTTCACAATTTTTGAATTAGCAACTTCAATGTCCACCTGTTTATGGTGAAAATAATACATTGAGTTATTTTCCCCTATACAACACTAAGCAGGAGGTTGCAAGAAGACAATGTAGAAATCCAATTTTTTTTTTAAGAGATGTCTAAATGAAATTAGAGACATACCATTGGAATATCTTTGTTGCTTTTGGTCTGCCAGTTTTGACAGATGCTCAGTTGACACTTCAAGAAGTGGTACGGAGTCGCATTACTCAGCTTAAAACTGAATCTCTCGCTCTGGGTCAGACTACGGAGTATACCAGGCTGACGACGCACGTTCTTGTCCTTCAGACAGCTGCAAAAACAAGACACACATATATTCCATCTAAAATTGTGTATTACATGTACTTTTTGAATAAAAATTCCAAATAAAATTTTCTCCACTTGCAGGTTTGTTTGCAATTCTTTACATCAATTACTTTAGTTAATTTGACAATGGTCACTTACCCGTCCCTGATGAGCCAAAGACTGGGTGGGGAGTCGTGAGTATGAGAAATCCAGCAATTCTGAACCACAACCCTCAAAGATTGATCTGTCATAAAATCAACATTGTAATTTCATTTTCTTTAGAATAAGCTTTACGATCTAATGTTCGTTTTCAAAATCAGGTTAGTTCCAACACACATGCTCCATTCTACTTTTATTCTTTTCTCCATATATTTTCAAAAAAAAAAGAAATTAAGTACCTGCTTCGATGCTGGCCTTGGCGTAGACCCTGCTATTGGCCGGCAGGGCTAGAGGGAAGGTATGTAGTGGGTCAGTGTAGTGTGAGGATTTATACAGGACGATACTGTAATGAACGTCAGAGGACGGGTCCCAGTAACTGATGTTCCGTGGGCGACTTGTAGTAGGTGCCTTATGTAAACAAAACAAAGATTGATTTCGTGGATACATGCTTAAAATTTCGGCTTAAGATTTAAGCAAAATGAAATCTTTAAGTTGTCATTGTAAGTCAGCTCAATGAATATCATTTCCATTCAAATTCAAACTTTTCAAACATATCTCTTTGTAAAACATTGCCCTTCTTTTGATGTCTGAGGCTACAAATTTAAACTTGCTATACTTATTTCTTTTAGAAACATACAATCTCATCTTCCGCTCTCCTAGGTGCGGTGCAGCGGATGGGGATCTCTATTTTGTCTGGTGTGTGGTTCAAGTCCTCATCGTCCAGGTAAGTCCCGTCCATGATGGACTGCCCGGACCCCTCCACTCCGAAGTCGTCCTCCCCCTCGTCCACGTCATTCATCCCGAGTCCGCTCGGCTGGTCGTACAGTCCCCCGTCCACCTCCTCTTTGTGGATCACAATCTGACATTGAACATTTTGACATTGATTTATTGAAATTATTTTCAAAGGTAAAATAACCAAATTGAATAATTATTAATAGGTGAATGATATATCTTGGTCCCTTTGTGTGTGACTTATAGTTTTTTAAAAACAGGAACTTGGTTGTGTGACTTACTGCATTTTAGTACAGAGACTTGGTCCCATTTTTTGTGACTTACAGAACATGTATTTGTGTACAAGGATTTGGTCCCATTGTAAAAGACATAGTATTCAGGATTTAGTCCCACTGTGTAAGACATACTATAGTACTGCATTTCAAGGACTTGATCCTTTTTTGTGAGACTTACTGCATTTGTGTAGAGAGACTGGTCTCCTTTGTGTGACACAGATGTTTTACAGGTTTGTGGCATCGCTGTAAACACCAACTCCTTCTTGTTTACAGCTCCTATACAGTCATCATCCAAAAGGGTGATCTGTTTTCTGGACAGATTGAAAATCTAAAAAGACAAAATATTTATTAGTTTAACATTTAGTCCATTGTGTGGCCATTTAAAATTCACAAAAGCAATACTGTCATTATGCCTTGACAAAATTTTACAAAAAAGATTTGAGTACACAATCATAATGCATTCTGATGTATTTTCTCAACGTAATAGCCAATTTTTCAATTTGATAAGAAACATTGTAAAATTAAAATGACCTTCATGACGGACTTGATCATGTGCACAGTAATTCGTCCTGTTCCATCACATTCTGTCCGTAACACCCTCCGGATTACTGTCTTAGTGTATCCTTGGACAGAAAATGGGTCAATGTGAGTAGGGTTCAGCTTAGGAGAGTTGCTGCTGGCTGGAGGAGAAACGAAAACAACAAAAGATGAGAAAAATGTCAATGTCAAAAATGGAAATGTAAAGGCCTTTTTAAAAAATGGATTACACCTTTGATGAAGAGGAAATGTGCTATACCACAAAATCTGTCACATTGTAGAGATAAAGATGAAATTTCATTGATGTGTGACTTTTTGAAATAAGGAGTGCCTCAGAAGAGTTCTCACCTGTATCGGGTAAGACCAGTTTGATTTTATTGGCCAGGTTGACCTTGGTGTACATCGCCACTGGTCCCAGGTAATCCTCCACCCAGCGGACCAGTCCCTGATTGGTCGCGGAAATCTCGTCCCTCCTCACATTTACTGGGTCCATCCTAATACGCGTCATGTCCACATAGCTATTGGCCTATCAAAAAGGAGTCACAAATTTATATAAAATGAATATATTGAGATTGAGATTGGCCTATCAAAAATGATTTACAAATTTATTTTTACATGTGATGTAAAAACATATTATGTCCAAGCACACAAAATACAACATAATTTATCATAATAAAGTATGACCTATTTTTTTTTCATAAATGGCTGAATTAATTCTATGAATTATTCAGTAGTTTTTCATATTTAGTACTTTAAATATGCTTTGACAGATAATGATTTATATCAAAGATACAGACTAAATATTATCTTTACAAACATTATAAACCATGACAAGAGTATCAGAGGATTTTTGTTTTCCTTCAAAAGACTTAGACCTCAATACACGTGAAGACATAGAATTAACTACAACTAAAACATAGAGTTTCTAAAAAAACATATAAAAGAAGGGTTTTCCCCCTCATACTGGATTAATTCATAACTGTACAGAGAAGATTCACACTATGATCAATACTCGGACCACTGACCACAATATCTATGTATCCCTGTAGCTTGTGAGTGGACACTCTCCAGTTGACATGGTCCGGGGACTTTAGGACCAGCCAGAAGTCCTTCTGAATCCTCTTCTTTGACATGCTTCGGATATCCAGGTGAGCTTCAATGGCAGCTGAGGTGTTAGACACCCTGCTCACTTGTTCTACCTCAATAATGTAAGCCACCCTACAAAAATATACAGTTTATTGTCTAATTTGATATTTTGACTTTTGAATTAAGGGACATTTGTCTAGATTATGCAATGAGAAAAAAATGTTTGAACCTCATTCATCTACTTGGAAATGCTGGGGACTTAAATCAATAGTACAATCTTCACTACATGGAGACATGACAAGAAATTCCATCATCAACTCTCATTGAATGATACTCGACTAAGCAGATTATTTAAGATGGCTTAACCTTTTTTTGTTAAATGTCGCCAAATGCATCTGCCTAATAAGGCGCACTAATGCAAAAGAACTAGATTTGTTTTTAACCTTCATGAATTAAAGACAAAGCTCTTTGAGTTATAAATTCTGGGTATCTAGGTCAGATTGAACAATGATATTGAGTATTTGATGTGTATTTTACACCATCATGCAACAGGTACTTTAATTAATTAGCTCAAAGGAAGAACTAACAAAATTAAACTAGGAATATAATGGGCCATTTCAATGACAATAGAACTCGAGATCACAAAATCACAAAGCACGAGAATCAAATAAACCAGGGCAATAATCCTTGAAAATATTTATCTGAAGGAGTGTGGCCTACTTTTTCATTGATTCTCAAGCATTACTGACATAATCACAAAAATACATGAACAACTTTTCAATGGCATTTAACACTTTAATCTCTGGTCTTATTTTTGAGGGTCAATAAAGTAAAATGGCACTACCTGTATAACCAGTGGGGCTGGTCAGTTATATATTTTTACCTGTTGTTTGGTTTCTTACCTGGAGATATCAGTTTGAGGTACAATGCAGCCAGAGGAGAGCTGGGGTTGTTCAAATTTTGCCATCACGTTCAACTTCTGCGAAGAGTTTTCCTGTATCACACAATCACTTGCTGCATTTTTATCTAAAAAAAACATAGGTAATCAAAGATTACGAAGCTCACCTCGACGAATGGTATCAGTTTAAGTAATGCAAATCTCACATCATATTTTCTTAATATATAGTATTCATCCCAACAACAATATTCTTGCAAGTTGTGTTTAACCCCTTACATGGCATATACACATTTCTAAGCCTGTAGCATGAAAAATATGTATAGTGTAAACAAATATTCATAACTGTTAATAATGCAGATATCAAAAAATAATCTGTTCCCAAAACTTTAACCAAGTCTCTTGTATGGAAAATATAGGTCAGATCCAGCATCCGAAGCAAGTCTGATAGTGTCCATCCTTAGATGCATCATCCATGCAAGTTTGGTCCAAATAGGGCTTCTAGTTACTTGGGAATGAAAATGTAGGTCAGATCCAGCATCCGAAGCAAGTCTGGTAGTGTCCATCCCTAAATACATCATCCATGCAAGTTTGGTCCAAATCAAATAGGTCAGATTCCGAAGCTATATTCCCTTGCATCATCCATGCAAGTTTGGTTCAAAAAGGGCTTATAGTTACTTGGGAATGAAAATGTAGGTCAAATCCAGCATCCGAAACAAGTCTGGTAATGTACATACCTAGATATATTATCAATGCAAGTTTGGTTTAGCTATGGCTTATAGTTACTTGGGAATGAAAATGTAGGTCAGATCCAGCATCCGAAGCATGTTTGGTAGTGTACATCCCTAGATGCATCATCCATGCAAGTTTGGTCCGGGTAGGGCTTATAGTTCCTTGGGAATGGACCTGCTCCAAAAACTTTAACCTGGTCACTCATGTGGAAAATGTAGGTCAGATCCAGCATCCGAAGCAAGTCTGGTAGTGTACATCCCTAGATGCATCATCCATGCAAGTTTGGTCCCGGTAGGGCTTATAATTCCTTGGGAATAGACCTGCTCCAAAAACTTTAACCTGGTCACTCATCTGGAAAATGTAGGTCAGATCCAGCATCCGAAGCATGTCTGGTAGTGTACATCCCAAGATGCATTATCCATGCAAATTTGGTCCTGGTAGGGCTTATAATTCCTTGGGAATGGACCTGCTCCAAAAACTTCAACCTGCTCCAAAAACTTTAACCAGGTCACTCATCTAGAAAATGCAGGTCAGATCCAGCATCTGAAGCAAGTCTGGTAGTGTACATCCCTAGATGCATCATCCATGCAAGTTTGGTTCAGGTAGGGCTTATAGTTACTTGGGAATGGACTTGCTCCTAAAACTTTAACCTGGGACGCCGACGCCGACGCCGGGGGTATAGCATAAGCTCATCTCGACTTCGTCGAGGTGAGCTAAAAATTCAACACTGATGAGCACTTTAAAAGACAAATGATATTTTTTTTTGGGGGGGGGAGGCTGCCTCCTAGTGTTTTTATCATCAAATGTTTAAGCATATTCTTTATATATGTTCAGCATCTTTACTGCATAAAAAATGTTTACTTTTTTCAATAGACTAAGTGAAAACGTAACATTTCAGTGAATAAGCTTTATTATACTGTTATCACAGCATCACTATGAAAATGCTTTACATTTCTGAAAGTCATCTTGGTACATAAACTGTCAACAAAATGCATTTGTGACAATTCCATGATTGATGTCATAAGATAGTATGTAGAATTTCACATGGTTTAGTCTGCCAGAGGATGGGATAATTCTCCATGTTGACCTTCTTATGTCGCACCTAGTTATCAACACAGGGAGAAATGGAGATATATCATGGAGAAGGCTGTATGCTACATTTACAACCAAAGGATGTTTTCACTGCAATTTCAAGCTTGGTTTCATGGGATTTTAATCAATGCCCTGAAAGAGATTTAGATAATCCAGTGGATTAAGTGCATTGTAAACATGTAAAAGTTGGCCAGGCACTCCCTTTATACAAAACCTCATAGATAAAATGATCATACAAGAAAATCAGGCTCCATTGTATTTACCTAGTACTCCTACAAATTCTTGAAATTCTATACCACGGAATTAAGATGAAGATGAGATATATAGGCAAATTTTTTTACCATCTGAAAGACTTTTTGACCTACCCATTCTTTATGTAAGACTAGTCAGTAAAAAAAAATATTAATAAGCAAATAAACAATAAATCTGAATTCAATCTTGATAAATTTCTGCAGAAAACTTTTATATTTTTTCAATCCTCTTTATATTTTATCCGGATTTTAACTGTAACTTGATTTATGTTTAGCTGGAGATTTATGAGGCTTGTCACAGAAGCCAGAAATACCCACACCATCAGTAACTTTCTGTAACGTATGAAGATAACTAACAGTGACATTAGACAATCACAAATAGCATCTCCAATCACCAGCTAACAACTTGTGAAGTCACAATGCAATCCAAGATCAAAACAAAACCTGCCGAGATCTGGGGATATCCTCATGTGAGGTCTCTAAAACAGCTGGATTACAATGTAAAACACATGGCTAGAATTGAAATGGAGCTCTTAATCACGGTCAAATTTACCCTCTCGTTTTACGTGGGGGTACAGGAGAAGAAGACGCAACAGACACCTCATTGTGGCTCATTCTTCCTCCCTTTTTTGTTAGCTTTAAATCTTTTTTTTTGACGTCATAATATAAAATTTATCAATATGCAAATGATCTAGGGAGACTCAAATTTAATAATAAAGAAACCTACCACTGTTTATGGGTTTCAAATACCGAGGTATGATGTATTTTAACTATGAATCACGGCAACTTATGATTCACATGTATATATATCTATGATTATTTACTAAAATTTCTCATATCTCTTTTTTCTTCATTGTCAGATATAATTATGCATTACTTGTTTTTACCCCATAAATTTCTCCCCTTTCCATTTCTTAAAGATAGCAATTCTACATTATCTATTTAAATCACTCAAACATATCTTTATTATGAATTGCTGGTATTTCAGAACAGTGAGTTATAAGCAGCATAAAAAAAATATCTCGTGCCTTTGCATGTTCAAAACTATTTTGATCGTGGCATCATATTTCCAGGTCGAGAATCATCTGGAACATAGATGAGTGTATACTACAGGATTTCAAAGGCAATGTAAAGGGTTTACCGATGTGTGATGGCTTATGTCAATAATGTGAAGTTGTGACATGTACTTTTTAGATACTCCTGTTTACATTGGCCTAACCATGGCCTTGACAGAGCCTTTCAAAAGAATCTGTCAAAATCTCACAAAGCCCCGTGATATTCATCTGATATATCCCACAATTCTTTAAAAGCAATTTGATTTAAATCAAGCTTTTTATGCAATGCTCATTGTTTAAACATTAGGTATTTGTTCTACACACATAAAACAAGATAATAAAAAATTACGAGGAACAAACTGTATTTTGTTACACCATATGCTTGTACGGATAGTAGAACAATTTTTACGAATTTGAAACCTGGCACTTTTCTCTAATCATTTTTATGTCTTTAAAACATTGCACAGTGGAAAAGTTAGAATCAAATATCCAGCACTCACTATTAAACTTTCCACAAATTGTCAATGAATTGAGATTATTAAAGCTAATACCCTGTGCAGATGGGAAAAAAATCAATAGACAGTTGTTATATGACATCCGCAAATAGCTCCATTCAAATAAATGACAAATTTCTAGGTCATTTTTAATGTTGAGTTCAGAAACAATGGATCAATTTGCACAATTTCTGGTGCAGATGTTCTGATAAAATTGCTTTAACTTTCTCTCATTTGTTCAAAATCTCTCAAAATAATAATGTTCAAAAATAAGAAAAAGAAAATATCATCGCTCAAAAAATTAAAATTACATATTTTAAGATTAATTATGCAATTGAAAATTGGTTTTCAGTCCTAACAAAAAGTATCAAAGTTTTAATCTTATCGAGGAAAATGAATTGGTGTGAAAATTTTAAATCTATTTAATATGTACAATTGAGCACATTGTTCAAACTTATACTTTTATACAAAAATGATTTGCATGAAAAACATGTAAATACATTGTAGCTGGCATTTTCCCAAACCTTTTCTTTGAAATTCTAGTGTGGGGCAAGTTTTCATAAATATAAACTTAAGGAACTATTCGTCAAATGAAAATAAATGTCTTAGTGTGATCAAGATAATACCATATTTCATTTTTCATATATAATCCTACCCTCACTCGTCTGCACCCCCCTTCCCCCTTTTCCATTCGTGTTGTGATATTTCCCCTACCTAGTCCAACACTCAGTGTCATTTGGTTTCCTCTCCGGAGCTCAGTGTACGACGTCAGGGCCTTGAACTCGGTCTTGACCCATGACATCAGGGCCACGGTGTCTTGCGGCATCGTATTCTTCCTCACTTGTTTTTTCTGACCATTACTAACAAGGCGGATACTCGAATAGGACGGAATCTATAATCAAAAGAATACAACATAAAAACATTGGCTTGTAAATGAGGGGGAAAATATCGACTCTTTCAAGGATTTTGAAATAAATTCTTTAATTTCATCCTCAGTTTCTGATGCGTTACATAACGGTGTTGCAGTACAAATGAATGTTAAAGTGCAAGAGCTATGCAAAATAACTACCACAAAGAGATGCCGTCTCTTTGATGCCAGGGTAATATCCGTCCGGATCTTCCATCTTACGGGCTGCCTCGAGTTCAATACGTATACGAAGGGCTCCAAATATGCTGCAAAACAGAAGAAAACATCCTCGTAAAGTGGACTCTTCACTAATAATTCATTATTTCTTATATTATCAAGAGTTTTATATCGACAAAATCTAAATGTCGGTTCAATGTCAGATTATACTCTCGAGTGACTCTTAACGACACTTTTGAAAACCAAGTGGCTCATTAGTAAGAGTGACTTAATTATTTTGTTTTCCCCTCCAACTGATCAGTAAGTTTTCCATTTACAATCCTACTGCATTACCTCTCCTATCAATAGGTCATCTATATACAGCATTTAGCTACATTACATCCCTATTACTATTAGGTTTGTATTTTGTAACAATACCAAATTTCACACAAACAGAAAAGTATCAAGTGAGTTTGGGAGAAGATAAATATAGTGAACTCGACAATACACATGGATG